AAAAGGAGCATTATTTATACTTTCATGCATTTTGCAATCATAATCCAATTCTTTTACAAGCCATAATTCTGTTTCCCTGGTAACGTCTGAGGTCCTTCCTGGAAATGTTGTTCACTACTCCAGTAAATAGGACGAACCTCAGATACAACTTGGCAACGGGAGATGTTTCCAGTTCCATCCGCTCATAGAGCTCGGCTTAGCTACGAGCCAGAGAGCTAACATCATGATGGCAAATTTCAAAGTCAGTAACACTGCGTACGGTCGACAAACAGGGAAATATCATTTTACAGTATGTTTAACAACAAAAGTAGCTAGCTATCCAGCCAAGTCCCCAAATGAATTAGTCAACATTGTGTTGTTTTTGTACAGTAGTCAGGAGAGGCCCAGCCCACAGAAACACTTCCCTCCGGCAGAAAGCCATGCTGTTACTGGTTACTGTTACTTGGCTGTTACTACTAACTAATGAATCTTTGGTCTGTATCACTAATAATATATTATTATTTGAAATTGGTTGATTCAAGCTTACATTAAAACAATTTTTTTGTTTTACAGGAATTCTTTTAGGAATACAAAGCTTTATTGCGAGACAAATATTGGAAGATTCAAATAGACTCTACCTTAAAATAAATCTTTAATCGTCAAATCTTTACATGATAGAAAACATATTTTGCAGATTTTTGTCTGAGATGTAAAGGAATCTTTTTCAGTTTTTTGTTTAAAAAATCGTATTGTGAATTATATTGAAGTCTGAGTTGAGTGTATTGTTACATCCTGACTTGATTTTGATAAATTACTACAAAGAAATTGATTACTGGACAAAGTATTTGCATACATTCTTAAATAGGGGAGCACTGAATGTTAAAAAATTCATGTGGACTTCAATAAATAAAAAAGCTTGTCAATATAATGATCCTCTTTATCTCAAACCGCTCTGTTCCACTGTCACACAGACCTTCACTGGTAATATCTTCACTTGGAGTTTATCCACTGTTTCAAAAGTGTCTAAAAGAGCTCTTATCTCTCTGGTCAGAGCCTCCATCTTCTCCTTCATCATCTGACTCTTCTGCTCCTCTTCCTCCCTCAGTGCAGCCAGCCTGGCCTCCTCTTCCTCTTCTAGAAACTGATGAAGCTTCTGAAACTGCTCCTTAATCTGCCTCTCTGTGCGTCGGGCCTGGACCTTAATGTGTTCCTGATGTTTGATCAAACTTCCATTTAACTTGTTTTAAAACTTTTAATTTCTCCTTTAAGGGCTTCAGAGTTTCCTGAAGTTCCTTCTTGTGTTGTTGTGCAGCTTCATCGATGGGTTTGAATCTATGGTTGGAGTGTTGTTCTGAATCTGTGCAGACGACACACACTGGCTGCTGATGGTCCAGACAGAAGAGTTTGAGTCTCTCAGAGTGCAGACTGCAGAAAGCTCCTGAAGCTTTCTGATCTCTCTCCAACAAGAAGGCCTTACACAGGTTCTTTAACACCAGACTAACAGGAGGTTCGGACATTGATGATACTCTCTTTTTTTTTCATTCACGTGATTGTTTCACTTTCTGTAGCTGTGGCTACATGACAGAACAACAGGGGTCTCTAAAGATGTCACAACAGACTGAACAGCTGAGATCCTCCTCTGATCTGGAAGCCATTTAGTCTCTGAGTGAAGCTGAAACAGAACAGAAAGTACAGTCAGTCAGTCAGCCGCCCTACAAGCTGAAGTTTCACTTTGAGTTGTGTTTTTAGTCAAACTCACATGCAGTGTGTGGAGCGTCTGCAGTTTGAAGCAGCAGTGTTAGTAGTTTTCCACTTTACTCTCCTGAAGCTGAATTCACTCAGAGGGAGTTGTTATTTTGGTCTGAAGGTGAATCTGATTCTCTGTTTCAGTCTGCATCTCTGATGAAGAATAACAAACTTGTTTCCTGGTCGGTCAGAGATGAGGCTGGTGGGGGGTGGAGCTTTGTCAGACCTTTTCTGCTAAATGTTGCTGCCTCACATGTAACAAGAGTCACCCACGCCCACCTGTATGCCCAAATGTGCCTGTGTTATCTAAATCTAAAGCTGGCACACCCAGCATAATCATAAAAAAATGTGATTTAGTTGCAAGTAAGGATGTTTCCAACCTATGTCGACTGATCGGTATCGGCTATATTAAGCTTTATTGATTCAATCCAATCTTTTGTTTTCCTTTAGCTATCACACAACTGTTTTTACTCATGAAGCTTTCATGCACAGAGCAGCCATCGTCCACTCTCTCGCCGTGTCTTTCCGCCCCTGCTCTGTGTATGAGAGCAGGAGTAGCCTGCCCCAGGCTGCCTGTGCTCAGAGGAGAGACAGTAAAGAGTCGACACACCACACTCAGTTCAAGTTCAAATTAGCATAGGGTGGGCGGGGTTGGCGCTTCCTTTACACTATTATTGTTTTAATGATATTAAAACACTAATGGTTGATCCACAGATCACTTGTTGCATTGTTTCTTGCACACATTATATCAAACAGGCCAACCTAAATGAATATTTCTGGCTACGTTACTATTCTAAAGTCCGGGGAATATTCTGGGAATGGGGCAAACATAGAACATCGAGGGAGACGGGTAAAGTGCGATATTGTTGTAGAGATGTGTACTGTAAGGGGTGCTGGGTTGCCTGGAATAATGTTGGTAAGGGAATCAGCTGAGTGGAAATCAGGAGGTACATGCACATCAACAAAAGACGTTTCTTGCTAAAACAATCCTCACCTAAAAATGTTTGTGTAAAAAACCTTGTCCTCAGTAAAACTGCTTGTGTGTTGGTGGTAAAATATTGAAACTGAAATGAAAAGTGAGTCAGAAACTGGAAAGTACCTGAAAGCCACAGGATGATCTGATGTAAGGCAACATGCAATGGCTCAGGTCATGGCAGGTGCAGCCGTATCAAGATTATCCTTTCGAATTGGTCCATATTTGTCCAGTGATTACATTACTTATTTCCAAGTCTTTTAAGGTTTTCTTTTTTGAAAAAAGTAGGCGGAGGTTCAGAAAGGTGGAGCTCACCTATATGGACAACATTTCAGTGAATGCTTGGCCAATTTGGACAATATAGGAGTGGTTTTGGTTCGAGGGTTATTGAAGATGCTAATTCCATGTCTGAAATTTTTAAGAAGTGACTGCATTTCAGCTCTCGGTGGGCTGATTTGGATCAATGAATCGGTTCATTTTGTGTTGATTTTCAGGTTATTTATATGCTTAATACACTAGACCTGCATTTTGAAAGCAAGAAATATTAATGTCATTGGTGTTTGGATGCAATATTTCTTCAAATTTCTTCAGTTCTGCTGGCATTGTTTTTGCTCTGCAGCATTTTTGTCATTGACCTGTGTCTTTCCCACTGCGGTTATGTATTTAGCATAAAAATTACCTTAAAAACTAAAGAAAGATTTGTCAAAATCAGCCCACTAGGAGTTGAAATATAGTTACTTGTAGTTTAAATAGCTACTTTGTACTGTGAAAATGTTACCAGTGGTAGGTTAACCCTGATAATAAAGGGGATATTGCAATATTGAAGTTAATGTGCAGTCAGGCTTTAGTTACGTTAACATTATGAAATAAGCTTTATTACAAAGTAATGGTTATCCACCCTAAATGCTTTAGTGTTTTATCTGTACTGAAGCTAGCATGGATATATTAGACTGTATTCACATCAAATCAAACATTGCAGTGAAAATGCCGTAGTGCATTTAGGCTGCAGTGGTGGGGGACCACATGGGATACAAAAAGGAAAATCGCAGTGGCCCTGTGGCCAAAAGTTGAGACAGAATCAACTTTTGGAGAAAATTAACCTGACGTCATACTGCAGTGGTCACATGAGATAAAGTGTATAAAGAGAGGAAGCTGTGGTAGCAAATCAGCCGTTGAGTCAGAGAAATAAACATTTATTTTCTAAAACAACATGCCCATGCCCCCCACACACGTGCAGAGATCTGTGTAGGAAGTGCCGCAACGTATGATTTGGTGTGAATATGGCCTTTAGGGGAAACCCATTTCTTGACTGGCCAGCTTCTCTCTTCATGGGTTTGTCTTTGACATAATTGATTAATTACAAAGTAACACAACTGACATGATTCCTCTTCAGCATCCCTACAGTTAATACGTAGAGTATACTAAAATGTTTGATGGCCAACTGTACGTTTCACTCTTCTAATCACCTTTTCCATCCATCCATCCATCCATCCATCCATCCATGTCAAACATTAGGCCTATGCATATCCAAATATCTACTGCATGGTCGGTCAAACATGTGTACACTCATGTTTTGCAATTTACCAACTATACAATGTAGATCATATCTTTAATTTCATAATATGATGATTGTTTCATTAAATGCTGATAACTTTTCTTTTTTTTCACACATCCCCAACCTTGGTGTAGTGCATTTATCAAGGGCTCATAAATGGATCCAAACATTCACCGATATTCATCCATCAAATTAATTTATCCGAGTCTCCAATGTGGTTGGGCAATACATGAAAACATTAATCTCACAGTGAGGATGTCTAATAATAATTTCCAAAACAATTGCAATGGGAAATGTATCTTTACTGGTTTTACGTGTCAGTACATGTACACTCCAACTAGTTGTGATGTTACAGACTCATGCTACACATATTAAATTCAAACAGAAGAAAAACATTTCACAGTGGAGATGTGACGTCCATCTTTTACACGTTGAAGATCTGCCACTGTAGCAACAAGAACTACAATACAGGGAAAGATGCACAAGATAAAAAAACACACATACATAATGGAAACATATAAATACAGGAAAGGCAAAGGTAAACACAAGAAGTACAAAAGTTACAATACAAGTGAAAAACAAATGTGGTGATGTGCTGATACTACCCGTACTTTACTTTTAGGGTAGAGGGTATAAAAAGACAATTTGTTTCTCTTAGTTTTGGCTAACACAGTTGTCTGAGGCAGCCTGCAAATGGTGGATACTGTTTGTACAAGTTCAAATACACCTTTCAGGAATAACATGCATAATGACATCCCCTTAGCTCCAACTCCAAAATGATTCAATGAACTCCTCCCACACTGTGCAGTCGAGACAACCTTGCAGTGCCAGTGTAGCCTCCTCCTCCAGAGTTTCACCTTTCTGGTGAGAACTTTACCCCTCTGTAGGCATGAGCGATACACTGGAATAAGATATGTGTGATCCACAGTACTTAATCCAGGGACTGGTATGAAGGCTGCTGAGCCCGGTTCTGTTGCATGCTAATGGCAGCTACAGCAGCAGTTAGTGGAGTTGAGGCAGAGCAGTCAGAGGACATAAGAGGAAAACGTATAAATTATTTTCTTCATAAAATATGATCCAGTTTCAGACCAGTCACTGATTGAGAGTCTGGTTTTTCGTGAGGCCTGGCCATGAAAGCCATGCTGTTTGTTTTACAGGAAAAATGGATTGGATTTTAGAAATGTAAAGATTTATCACAAGACATCAGTGAGATTAAAACTGAATCGTGAGGTACTTTTACAAAGAAAAGGAAATATTAATTGTTTTCCAGTTCATACCCTACCTTTGAAATGAAAAGGGAATGATTTAAGTGTATCATTTCATCCCTATTGGCTTCCGAAAATACAGAAGAAATTGAGGTTTTGTCATTTTTTGGCATAAATTCTTAAATAGGGGTGCACTATAGGGATGCAACCTGAAAGGCTTAAAATTACATTTTTAATTTCATGCGGCCTAAATAAACAACATCATAATCATCATCTTTATCTCTAACTGCTCTGTTCCACTGTCACACAGATCTTTAGTGTAATATCTTCAGTTCATCCCCAGTGTTAATGTATGGAAACATCCTTTCAGTGAAAGTGTGTAAGTGTGTGTTAGTATTAAGATCAGAGAACGACAGCTCTCCTCTGTTCCAGTCCAGATTCATTCTGATCCTCTTCAGCTTCTGCCGCACCCCAAGATCTGTAGGTGAACCTGTTGGTGGCCATGCTGAGTACTGACCGTTATATAACCCTATTTTCCATAATCCAGACTGCATGTCTCCCTTCCTCTGCTAACACACCCAGTAACCAGCCTGTACTGTCTCCAACCTCGACATCCCAGCTGTGAGTCCCTGAGTTAAACCCCCTCAGAGCCCAGAACAGAGTAGTAAGAATCAAACCTCTCTGGATTATCAGGAAGCTGCTGTTTCTCTCCTCTCCTCACAGAAGTCAGATCTTTAGACAGGATGATGTTTGGATTAGCGGTGTTTGGATCCAGAATCACAGGACTGTAGGAGACCATGTCCTTCATCTTGTTCCAGATGTTGAAGGTCAGGTTGCCCAGGTGTTTGGCCTTGTTTATCAGAGCTTCTGAGGGCAGCTGTGGATCCTCCAGCAGGGGGCGCTGCTGGACTCTTTCCACTGCAGCCTTGTAGTTGTTCAGGAATGAGACATCTTCAGCTCTCAGCTCCTCCTCTGTGGCTCTGACTGTGTCTGAAAGAGCTGCTATCTCTCTGCTCAGAGCCTCCATCTTGTCCTTCATCATCTGACTCTTCTACTCCTCTTCCTCCCTCAGTGCAGCCAACCTAGCACCCTCTTCCTCTTCAAGAAACTGGTGAAGCTTCTTAAACTGCTTCTTAATCTGCCTCGGTCTGTTGGGCCTGAACCTTAATGTGTTCTGCTGTTTGATTAAACTTCCCTTTGACTTGTTTTAAAACCTTTAATTTCTCCTTTAAGAGCTCCAGAGTTTCCTGAAGTTCCTTCTTGTGTTGTTGTGCAGCTTCATCGATGGGTTTGAATCTATGGTTGGTGTGTTTTTCTGAATCTGTGCAGACGACACACACTGGCTGCTGATGGTCCAGACAGAAGAGTTTGAGTCTCTCAGAGTGCAGACTGCAGAAAGCTCCTGAAGCTTTCTGATCTCTCTCCAACAAGAAGGCCTTACACAGGTTCTTTAAAGCTAGACTAACAGGAGGTTCGCCTCGTAATGAGACTGTCTTACAAACTGAACACTCTACGTGATTGTTTCACTCTCCACCATGTCTTCAGACAGTCTTTACAGAAACTGTGGCTACATGACAGAACAACAGGACTGTCACAACAAAGATGTCACAACAGACCGGACAGCTAAGATCCTTCTCTGATCTGGAAGCCATTTAGTCTCTGAGTGAAGCTGAAACAACAATAGACAAAAAATACAATCAGTCAGGGCTACTGTCCCCCTCTACTAACTTCACAGAAGTTTACTTTCACTTTGAGTTATGTTTTTAATCAAACTCACATTCAGAGTGTGGCGTGTCAGCAGGTTGAAGCAGCAGCGTTTTACACTTTTCTCCTCTGTAGTTGATATGGACTTTACAGACCAAACTAACAACTTCCTAAGAGTGAGACTTAGGAAGTTGTTAGTTTGGTCTGTAAATGAATCTGATCGTCTGTCTTTCAGTCCGTGTGTCTCTCTTTCATGAGGAAGACTAACCTATCGTTTCCTGATTTGTCTCAGGTGAGTCAGGTGAGTCAGGTGGGGAGTGGAGCTTTGTCAGACCCCTCCCTGCTGAATACGGTTGTTTTTACATGTAAGATGAGTGTGTTTCATACCAAAGTAGTGACTCCTTGCTGAACAGGTACACTGCACACTGAGAGTTTGCAAAAGGGTTCTGCAACAGCTTGTTCTGACTGGTGATGACAAACAACAAGACACAGATGCACACCTCAGAATCATTCTTAGGTTGAGAAACATCGGTCTTTACTTGGCAAAAAAGAGGTCCAGTACACAGTCAGATTGCAAACAATCCAGCAAGGTTGAGACAAAAGGCAAAGTCAGGAAACAGTCAGGGAATGTAAAAAACAGGAAACAACAAAAAAATTATGGAACACTTAAATACTCTACTGAGGGGGAAATTAATGAGACAGATTAAGCCAATCAGGGCATAAAAACCAGCGGGAAACACACAAGGGCAGGAAGTGAAGAGGTCTGAAACGAGCGATCAGAAACAAAATAAAACAGGAAATAAGACGAAAAACATGACCTAAGCTTTGACAATCTACAGACACAGCCAGTAGTTTGAACTAAGGTTAAATGCAATGGAGTTCAAATATACTGTAACTTGCCAAATTCCTGGGAATATTCTGGGAATGGGGCAACCGTAGAACATCGAGGCAGAGGGGTTAAGCACAATATTGTTGTAGAGGTGTGTACCATAAGGGGTGCTATGGAATAGGTAGTCTGGAATTATGTTGGTAAGGGAGTCCAACATTTCCATGAAGGTTGTTTTAAGTGCTAATCATCAGGAGGTACATGCACATCCATAAATGTAGTTTTCTTGCTAATAACAATCCTTACCCAAAAAATGGAAAAAATAAACACGGCCTATGTTGTTCACAGTCCATATTTCATTCTGCATTGTTATGTAAAAACCTCAGGAAGACTGTTTGGGCCCTATCTTGCCGATCTGAAACGCAAGTATCAAACGCAAAACGCAAGTAGCTTTGTGGGCGGATGTCGGGCGCTGTTGCCATTATGCTGGCGGGATAAATGACTCTTGCGCCCGGCGCAAATCTAAAATGGGTTGGTCTGAAGTAGCTACATTAGTCATAGGTGTGCTTTGGGCGTAACGTGCAATAAACCAATCAGAGCGTCATCTCACATTCCTTTTAAAAGCAGGCGCGCTTGTTCCATGGTGGATTGCTATTATAACGGCGGATTTGCCAGGCGCACGACAGAAGCGGTTCACGGCCGAGGAGACATTCTCGTCAGGGGCCGTAAAATACAGAGAAGTGACATTATTGACATGAAATAAATGTAACACAGCCATACAATAAATCAAAACAATGAAACGCAGCTTCGCAGGAAGAAGACCCTGGCCTCGGGAGCAGTGCTAAGAGCCAGCTGAGCAGGAAGCGGCACAAATACCAAGGTGCAGAGGATCCAGACCCACTAAACGCCGGAGGACCACCCGTCCCTGCAGCAAACCGGGTTTGACATGC